TGAACGTAAAGTAGTTCTGGCCTTAGCTTCTTTTCTTTGAATCGGAGGATTACTAGTTGAAACTACAAAAACTTTTTGAATTGGTTTTGGATTTTGAATAGGTTGTCCCGGAAATTTTCCTTTCTCTTGTTCGGCATCTATTTTAGCAACTTTGTTTTCAAGTCTTTCAATGATTTTATTTTGATTTGTTTGTTGTTCAAGTATCTTCATTAAAAGAGCTGCATAGTTAGTTTTAGGTTGCTCCGTTTTTTCGAGATTTTGAACCGGAGGTTGATTAACTTCATTGTTGTTTCTATAACCTTGAAAGTTATTGTTTTGCCTCATATATCCATTAGGGTTTCTATTCATGTTATTTCCTTGAAAGTTTTGTGGGTTTTGATTGAAATGTCTAGCATTGTTTTGATCTCCCCATCGAAAGTTTTGATGATTAGCCCATGTTGGATTGTATGAATTACCTTGAGGTGTAGCGTTAGTTCTATTATCCCAAATATCGTTAACTTGTTCTTGTTCGTAAGGAATGTGTAGGCAATTATCTTCATTGTGAATGTTTCCATTACAAACATAACATATTTCATTAACGTTCATGACGGTGTTGGATTGGTAACTTTGTAAGGAGAGAGCTTCAACTTTTTTAGCTCGATTTTGAATTAAAGTTTTTACTTCTCCGTCTTGTTCCATCTTAGTCGTAGGTTTAACTTCATAGACCCCAGGGATAGGATTAGGTGAGTTTCCCCAATGTTGAGAATTTTCAGCAAGTCTTATAAAGAAATCATTAGCTTGTGTTGCGGTTTTACTAAGGATTTGACCCTCATTCATAGATTCTACTATGGAATGAATTGTAGGGTTTAGACTATTGAAAAGCATTGAACTAATGTTTCCATAAGGATTTGATAATGTGGACATTGTATTTGTAATTCCCCAAACCTTTCCCAAGCTTCTAAGAATTCTTCCGTAAGTTTTTGTCTAAAAGTTTGGATCTTGTTTCTTAACTCTATTGTTCGTGACATGGGATAGAATTTAGAAAGGAATTTAATGTTCAATTGATCCCAAGTGCGGATAGAGTTTCCGGCTAAAGAATGTAACCATTGAGATGATTTGTCATTTAGAGAGAACGGGAATAACCATCAATGCCTAGTCTAGTTTCATTAAGAGTTGAGCATATTTGGACGAATTGATGTAAGTGAGTATAAGGATCTTCTCGCTCATGACCAGAGAACTTTGGCAACATGTTAATGATGCCATAGTGAAGTTTGAAATCAGCTCCATCTTCGAGTGCGGACAAAACGATGCAATTAGAATGTCTGGTAGATAAGGGAGCAAAAACATCACGAAGTGGCCTTTCAGGGTTTGCCATTTCAACAGGATGGATCGAGTTGCTACTATTAGAATCTAGTTCAAAAGCACTATTTGCTAAGCCTAGAGGACTATTATCAAAATTAAAATCTATCGGACTAGCTTCTGACTTATTAACAACTAACGGAGTATACCTAATACCAGAACGTAAAAGCAAATACTAAGGTGTTGCTATTGGGTGTTTTGGTGCGTACCCTTTATCAACTTATTATAAATACTCAACTAAGGACACAAAACAAACAATTCACACTTCTAATATTGAAAATTAAACCTCTTACGTGAGAACCGAGGTGTTGAGAGTAAACGTACCTTTTTCCCTCGAACGTGCGCAACGACCAAATAATATTCAAAATAGCAAAATACGGAATATAAATACCTTAAAAGTGATTGAAACACGTACCTTGGTCCAAAAACTTAAAATTCTGAAATTTTCAAAATTTTTGGAAAATTTAAAAAAATTTGCCGCTTCTGACTTGGTCGCCCTGCGCGAGTTGGCAAAGCCTGGCAGGTCGCCTCGGGTGAGTTACTCCGAACCCGGATTTTTTGATTTTTTAA